GTTTTTGATTTTATTGTAGCGATGAGGTCTCGCCTGCCCAGGCGGGTCTCGAACCCGCGGGCTCAGGCAATCCACTTACCTCAACCTCCCAAAGGCGCGGGATTACAGGCTGAGTCACTGAGCCCGGCTTAGAGTTGTTTTTTGTGTATGGCGATAGGTAGAGGTCCTGTTTCAGTCTTCTGCACGTGATCAGCCAGTTTTCTCAGCATCATTTACTAAATAGGTTCTCCTCTCCTCAGTGGTTGTTGTTGGGGGCTTTGTCAAAGATGAGGTGGTTTAGAAATTGAGATTTTGCTTCTGGAATCTCTGTCCTGTTCCATTGATCTGTATGCCTGTTCTTGTACCAATACCAGGCTGTTTTGATTATTGTAGCCTTATAGTAAGGTTTGAAGTCGGGAAGTGTGAAACCTGCTTTGTTTTTTTTGCTAAGGATTGTTTTGGCTATTTGTGGTCATTTATGTTTCCATATGAATTTCTTTGTTTTCATTTTCAGGTCTAAGAAGAATGATGTTGGTAATTTAATGGGTATTGTGTTGAATCTGTAGATTGCGATTGGTAAGATGGACATCTTAACAATGTTGAGTCTTCCTATCCATAAGCATGGAATAGTTATCCATTTGTTTGTGTCTTCTTGGATTTCTTTGAGCAGTGTTTTGTAGTTTTCATTGTAAAGGTCTTTCACATCTCTGGTTAGGAAGATGCCAAGGTATTTCCTTTTTTTGTGTGTCTTTTGTGAATGGGATTGTGCTTTTTATTTGGTTCTCTGCCTGCTTGTTGTTAATATATAAGAATGTGACTGTCTTTTGCACATTATTTTGTACCCCAAAACTTTGCCAAAGTCCTTTATCAGTGCAGGAAGGTTTTTGACAGATTCTCCTGGATTTTTGAGGTATAGAATCATATCATCAACAAAGAAGGATAACTTAACTTTTTCCTCCTATTTGGATACCCCTGATTTCCTACTCTTATCTAATTGCTCTAGCTAGGACGTCCAACACAGTGTTGAACAAGAGGGGTGAGAGTAGGCAGTCTTGTCTTGTTTCAGTTTTTAGGGGAAAAGTTTCTAGTTTCTGTCTGTTTAGCAATATACTGGCTGTGGATTTATCATAAATGGTGCTTACTATTTTGAGGTATGTTCTTTCTATACCTAAGTGTTTGAGGGTTTTTATCAAGAAGGGATGCTGGATTTTATCAAAAGCTTTTTCTGCGTTTAGTGATATAATCATGTGGTTCTTGTTTTTACATCTGTTTATGTATTACTTATATTTATGGTCTTGCGGATATTGAACCAGCCCTGCATCCTGAGGATGAAGCCTCTTGGTCATGATGGATGATTTTTGAGATGTGTTGTTGGATCTGATTTGCTAGAATCTTGTTGAGAATTTTTGCATCTTTGTTCATTAGGGATATTGGCCTGTAGGAAATGAACTAATTTTTACAGTAACATATTATTGATTGTTCAAAATATTTTTTGCTTATTAAAAAAGTAATAGGGTCATTAACTGTGAGTCATTGATTTTTGAAATGTTGGTATGCCACTAAGAAAAACAGTAACCACACCAGTTACTTCAGAGAGAATTTAATATAGCAAATTGGTTAAGTGGTTATTGTAAGACCAAAAAAACCAAAAAGGGACTTTGAGGAAAGAGAAACAAAGGGAAGAGGTTGGACTTATCAGAACCTCAAAGTTCAGAGAAGGGGTTCACAGAGCTGGTGCCAGTACTTCTGAAGGATGCAGTGAAACTGGTTCTGTCTGTGCGTGCCAACTGTCTGGGCAACACTGGGGGGAATAGCAAGCAAACAAGTGTCTTCTTCCTTCTTTCTTCTTCCTCTTTCTTCCAGTGTTTGCTAGTACCCACTACTGGTGATGGAGCCTAATAGGAAGTCAGCTAACAGGAGAGATGTGGTTGTAGTGTTCCAGCTCCAGTATCACAAAGAGTGAGTGTGGAGTTGAAAAGTAGTAGCTTAATAAGTGACACACTCAACACTGAATGCAACAGATTCAAAGAACTGATCTTAGGGTCACTTGATTTTGTTTTGTTTGTTTTGAATGGCAGTCATAGCTCGGAAGAATACTTCTAAGAGGCATGGTATAGAGCAGGGGCAGCAAACTTTCTACAGGGCTGGATGGTAAATATTTTAGACTTTGCAGGCCATAGGGTCTCAGTGTCAAATACTTAATTTTGCCTTTGTAGTACAAAAATAGCCTTAAGCAACATGTAAACAAATGAGTGTGATTGTGTTCCAGTAAAGCTTTATTTTCAGAAACAGGCAGTGTGTTGAAATTGGTCCATAGGCTATAGTTTACAGACTTTTGATGTACATACAGTATATACTTAGAGTGATGTTAATTAGTGATAGTCAGTGTGGATTCATGTTTGGAATAACCTTCTTGGTACTTTTTATTTGGGAGACATCTTCATAGATCTGATTAATTTTTAAAGACCTCATTCTGGCTAAAGAAGGCCTATAAGAGGAATAGGGAAAGTGTTCTGCCATTCTCTTCACTTCTCATGACATTAGTATTTTTTTCTTTTTTCAATAAACTTTGTTTTAATGGGTCTCAAAATTCTGTGACAGAGTTTTGGTCAAGTTGTTTCCATTAAAAAGTATTGATTTAAGCTGGGCTCGGTGGCTCAGCCTGTAATCTCGTACCTTTGGGAGGCTGAGGTGAGTGGATTGCCTGAGCCTGCGGGTTCGAGACCCACCTGGGCAGGCGAGACCTCATCTCTACAATAAATCAAAAAATTAGCCGGGTGTGGTAGCGCGCGCCTGTAATTCTGGCTACTTGGAAGGCTGAGGTGGAAGGATCACCGGAGCCCAGCAGGTCCAGTCTGGGCGACAGAGTGAGACTCCAACTCAAAAAAAAGGTATTGATTTAAAAAACATAGCTTGAGAAATTGAGGTCTTGCCTCTAGAATCTCAATTCTATTACATTGGTCTATATGCCTGTTGCTATACCAATACCAAGTTGTTTTGATGATTGTAGCTTTATAGTAAAGTTTGAAGTCTGGTAATGTGATACCACCTGCTTTGTTTTTTTTGCTGAGGATTGTTCTGGCTATTCTTGGTCGTTTGTGTTTCCATATGAATTCCTGTGTTGTTTTTTCTAGGTCTGAGAAGAATGTTGCTGGTAATTTGATAGGTATTGCATTGAATCTGTAGATTGCCTTAGGTAAGATGGACATCTTCACAATGTTGATTCTTCTAATCCATGAGTATGGGATATTTTTCCACTTGTTTGTGTCATCTTTGATTTCTTTGAGCAGAGTTTTGTAGTTTTCATTGTAAAGGTCTTTCACATCTCTGGTTAGGAAGATGCCAAGGTATTTCATTTTTTTTTGTGGCTATTGTGAATGGAATTGTGCTTCTTATTTGGGTTTCTGTTTGTTTATTATTGGTGTAAAGAAATGCGATTGTCTTTTGCACATTTATTTTATATCCTGAGACTTTGCCGAAGGCCTTTATCAGTGTAAGGAAGTTTTTGACAGATTCTCTTGGGTTTTCAAGGTATACCATCATGTTCGACAAAGCCTCCACCAACTACCACTGGGGAGAGGAGAACCTATTCAGTAAATGGTGCTGGGAAAACTGGCTGACCACATGCAGAAGATTTAAACAGGACCCCTATCTATCCCCATACACAAAAATTAACTCCAAATGGATCAGGTACCTAAATATAAAACCTCAAATCATAAGAACCTTAGAAAATTAAGGACATACCCTCATGGAAATTGGAACTGGCATCCATTTCCAGAACAAAACTCGAAACCCACAGGCCATAAGGGATAAGATAGACAAGTGGGACCTCATTAAACTGACAAGCTTCTGCAAAGCCAAAGAAACCATCAAGAGAGCAGGAAGACAGCCTACAGACTGGGAAAAAGTATTTGCCAACTCCAGGTCTGACAAAGGCTTAACATCCTGGATCTACAAGGAACTCAAACGTGCTGAAAAGAAAAAAACAAACAACCCCATTATAAAATGGGCAAAAGATATGAACAGACACTTCACAAAGGAAGACATCTGAGCAGCCAACAGACACATGAAGAAATGCTCAGCCTCATTAATCATTAGGGAGATGCAAATCAAAACCACACTGAGATACCACCTAACTCCAGTCAGAATGGCAATTATCAACAACTCAAAAAATAACAGCTGCTGGAGAGGGTGTGGTGAAAAGGGAACACTTCTACACTGTTGGTGGGAGTATAAACGAGTGCAACCTCTGTGGAAAGCAGTGTGGCGATTCCTAAAAGCTCTAAACATCAACCTCCTATATGACCCTGCAATCCCCCTACTGGGAATATACCCTGAAGAACTCAAATCACTCTATAAAAAAGATACCTGCACATGAATGTTTATTGCAGCATTGTTCACAATAGCAAGAACCTGGAACCAACCACGCTGTCCATCAAAAGAGGACTGGATTAAAAAAATATGGTACATATACACGATGGAATACTATGCAGCCATAAAAAAGAACAAAATCATGAACTTTGCAGCAACCTGGATGGAGCTAGAGTCTATAATACTAAGTGACCTCTCACAGAAACAAAGATCTGAGTACCACATATTCTCACTCATATAGTGGACCTTGATCATCCAATGCACTACTGTAAAAAAATGACTGATGGTGTTGGGAAAATATGCAGGGGGGATGGGACTAATGGTAGTAAACATCTGTCTGGAGACAGGGAGACACCAGTTATCAACAAGGGGGCCTGAATGAAGCATATTTGTATACCTAACCCTTTACTGTACCCCACAATATCAAAATAAAAAATATCGATTAAAAAAAAAAAATAGCTTAAAACTGCCACATGCAAAAAAACCCCAAATCATCCACAAACATTCTCCTTTCCTTCTAAAAATTTTATGATGCATTGTTATCATTAATCAGTCTTTTATTATTAAACTTCAATGGCCAATTGAAACATTTCTGAGACCGTTCTCCTACCACTAATTAAGACCAGGGTGTCAGGAATTAGGGGTAGTATTCATTCAGCCTTCTGAGCTTTCCGGGCAGACTTAGCGACCTTGCCAGCTCCAACAACCTTCTTGTCCACTACTTTGATGACACCCACAGTAACTGTCTGCCTCATATCATGAATGGCAAAATGACCCAGAGGAGATCTCCATAAACATGGGCTTGCCAGGAACTATATCAACGATGGCAGCGTCACCAGACTTCAAGAATTTTGGGCCATCTTCCAGCTTCTTACCAGAACAGTGATCAGTCTTTTCCTTTGGCTCTGCAAACTTGCTTGCAATGTGAGCCGTGTGACAGTCCAGTACAGGGGCATAGCCAGCACTGATTTGGCCTGGATGGTTCAGGATAATCACCTGAGTTGTGAAGCCAACTGCTTCCATTGATGGATCATTTTTACTGTCACCAGCAATGTTGCCATGGTGAACATCTTTGACAGACACATTATTGACACTGAAGTTCACGTTGTCCCCAGGAAGACCTTCACTCAAAACTTCATGGTACTTTTCAACAGACTTTACTTAAGTTGTAACATGGACTGGAGCAAAGGTGACCACCATGCCCGGTTTGAGAACACCAGTCTCCACCTGGCCCACAGGGACAGTGCCAATACCACTAATCTTGTAGGCATCCTGGAGAAGCAGATGCAAGGGCTCGTCAGTTGGACAAGTTGGTGTCAGGTGACAGGATGCAGTTCAGTGCTTTAAGTAGTGTGGTTCCACTGGCATTACCATCTTTACAGGTGACTTTCCATCCCTTGAACCAAGGCATGTTAGCACTTGGCTCCAGCATGTTGTCACCATTCCAACCAGAAATTGGCACAAATGGTACTGTGTCAGGGTTGTAGCCAATTTTCTTAATCTAAGTGCTGAATCCCTTAAAAATTTCTTCATATTGCTTCTGGCTATTGGGTGGCTCAGTGGAATCCATTTTGTTAGCACCAACAATCAGTTGTTTTATACCCAGTGTGTAAGCTAGAAGGGCATGCTTATGGGTTTGCCCATTCTTGGAGATACTAGCTTCGAATTCACCAACACCAGCAGCAACAATTAGGACAGCACAGTCAACCTGACATGTGCCTGTAATCATTTTTTTGATGAAGTCTCTGTGTCCCAGGGTATCAATGATAGTGACATAGTACTTGCTGGTCTCAAATTTCCACAGGGAGATATCAATGGTGATACCACATTCATACTCAGCTTTCAGTTTATCCAAGACCCAGGCTTACTTGAAGGAGCTTTCCCATCTCAGCAGTCTCAATCTTGAATTTCTCAATGGTTCTTTTGTCGATGCCACCACATTTGTAGATCAGATGGCCAGTAGTGGTGGACTTGCCTGAATCAATGTATCCAATGACAACGATATTGATGGGTGTCTTTTCCTTTCCCATTTTGGTCTTTAGGGGTGGTTTTCATGACACCTGTGCCCTGGTGGCAAACTCGTTGTGAAAAAATGGCATTAGTATTAAAGAAATAGTTTCTTTACAAGAATCTTTTAAAGTTATGTATTCATCTTTGTATGCTTTAGTTTAAAATTGACATAGCTATACACTGAATGTTGATGCCACTGAGCTGTACACTTAAAATCGTAAATTTTATGATCCTATTTTATCACAATTTTTAAAAATTGAGGTAAATCCACTTGCATGGATGGACTTCTCATGATGGAGCATCACATTTTCCTCAGATATCTCAAATCATGGCAGTGATTGACTGGCATGAAGCCTCCTAAGTGCTAGTTTTCATCAGAACAGTAAATTCATAAGATTAATTTCTTACTGTTTTTAGTTAAAAGAAAAAGTAAATAGAATATTCAGTATCTTCTTCCTGCATCCCAGTGGATCATCCTGTCCATCCCTTGGGATGCACACACCCACTGGAGAGAGACCATGGGGTAAGAGACTTAGTTCCTAACAGGATGGTTTGATTTCTATTGAGGCACTACACGGATACTCCTTATTCTCTTGTTCCTCCCTTGCGGGCACATATCACCAATAATGTTATACTGATCTTGTGTTTTCATACCGTACCTAATCCAGCTCTGCTTTCTCAGCCATATTTCTATAGCACTTTATGTAAACTTCTTTTATAACTCTAATCATGTTGTATTTTCATTATTTGCCTGTATTTGTTTCTCCCTTCTTGTTGAACAGCATGTCTTGTTATATACTATGTTCCCAGTACTGGGCTGTGGCATACAGTGTGCTCTCACTGAATGCTTTATCAAGTTATTGGAACTAGAACTTAACCCAAACTGTATCTAGCTTCATGTGGTTCATCATCTAGGTGGTTATGGTGTCTTAACCGCCCTTCATCACCTTCATAATTTTGGTCAGCCTTGGGATTTTAGAGGCCTAAATCACATCTTCACTGCCATCACAGCTTTTTCCATCCCAATACTTGGCATTAGGAAGACTTGGGCATAAATTATATTTGCATAGTACACACCTTTAAGAATAATTTATTGTAATTGATCTTGCTGATATTGACTACCTGCTATATGCTAGAAAGTCTACTGGGGATACTACAGTGAACATTTTGCATGTGAGAAAATTGAGACCCTGAGAAGTACATGGTGAGTATAAGATTATATATACCTTTTTTTTTGAGTTGGAGTCTCACTCTGTGGCCCAGACTGGAGTGCAGTGGCTGCTCCCGGCCACCGCAGCCTTGACCTGCTGGGCTCCGGCGATCCTTCCGCCTCAGCCTTCCAAGTAGCTGGAACTACAGGTGCATGCTACCATGCTCGGCTAATTTTTGATTTATTGTAGAGTTGAGGTCTCGCCAAGTTGCCC